CCGCCGCAGTCGAACCGGATTAGCAGTTGCATCCCCGCCGACCACCGACCACCGACCACCGACCATTCCATCCAGTATCCACCATCCAACAGCATCCAGCATCTACCATCCAGTATTCAGTGTTCAGAATTCGGTATAAAGCACACTGTGCTCAGTTCACTCTATACTATATTATACTGTATACGGTGCGAGTATACTGTATGGTGTGGTGTATCGAGCGACCGGCTCCATCTTTGTCTGCGTCTGTGCGGTGGCCATGGCCAATGTCTACACAACAAGGTGACGGCTCATAATGACGGGCCATGGCCAAGAACGTGAGCACGGATGGGCCGGGCTGCCATGGATCGGCTGGGATCAAATCGCGCTGCGTTGAGGCGTTTGCACCTCCCATGGATGAGTCGCCGTTTCCCGCTCCCTTGCTCGCAGCACTTAGAGAAAATAATGAAAATAAAGAATTTTGTTTTCTAACCGGAAAAAATAAATAAAAGGCATTTATTTAAATGCATATACATTATTATTTTTACTGATATAAAAATCTCTAACCCACCAAAGGAAATGAATAAAATTATTAAATATTTGTCATAACATAAAACAAGATAATAGTCAATTGAAGTCTTGTTATGAAGACTTGCATATATATAAGTGATATATTAAGTGTATAAAAATGTTCAAGAACATTGCAGATAAATCTGAAAAAAATGTAAAAGAATTAAAAATTATATTCTTAAATTTTAATTCATTGTAAATATATATGACTAAAAATTCAAACCTGTTAAAAATATACGAATATTGAAGATATTAATACAATACAATACAACACAAACACATTTCACAAATACCAAACATCCATTCCAGGGCTCCTCCTGCGAACTTTGTCACATTTTCTCTCAGTGCACTGTGCCTTTGATGGTCGCTCCATATGCATCCATCTTCCGTCCCCCTCCGCCGACGCTCCTGTTGCTGCTGCTGCTGCTGCTGCTGTGGCTCCGTTTTCGGGGCTTTGTCGAGGGGCGTTACCCGGTGATCATCACGCATTTGCGGCATCCCCATCACCATCCCCCCCTCCACCTGAAACCCCTGCCCCTCTCCCCCCTCGAGCAGCCGCTGCCCCGCCGGGGCTGCCTTAATGGGTGTTATTTTGTTTTGCCGTAAATATTTTTGCAATGGGCGCTAATTAAGTTTGGCTCTTTTTGGGCTCTTTTGACTGCATCCTTCGCACTTTGTTATGTGTGAAACTTTTAAATTTCGTTGGGTCGGCAAAGATGAAAACCGCCGTGGTATCCCCCCAAATTGGAGGGCATTAAGAGCCCCCCAACCATCGCATCCCTCCTCCGATCTCCACTCTCCGCTCTCTGCAGGAAGCATCAACACAGCCAGCTATTAAACTGCAATTGAAAATTGCTCATACGCCACGTGGTGTGGAAATCTATGAATGAACCTAGTACGTCAATGAGTAAAATTAGGGGGTTAAGAAAACCAAAAAAAAATATTAAGCAGGAATATCGCCCTGACACTGCAGCCAATTTCATTTGCCGTAAAATACTTGGTATTGTTTTTCTCGCCCAGCCGCTTTTATTTTTTTATGACTCACTTCCACCGCCGCTTCATTCTGACTTTGCAGCTTTTTAGTTGCTGTTTCAAAACGATTGGACAATAAATTAGCATTATGCGGTTACAGCCACTCGAATTCCTCTTAATGAGCTGGCAGCATCCGCCAAATGGCGGCGGGTCCGAAGTTCCCTGCGGTGGCAAAACCAGGCAGCTTATCAATGCCTAGTCGCCCAGTTATTTCAAAAGATTGCAATCAGTGTACATTATATCATAATTGGGGAATTTCGGCCCTGCTGAATGACTTTTATGCGCACTCATTTCACGTACAATTTGATAAAATTGCGATTACTTGACGCAAGGTTGTTGGCAAACATATTCATAGCCGATCTTATCGGTTCAAAGTTCCGGAAGTGGCTATGCTTTCTTATTTATTTAGGGAGAGTCATTTAGGATCAAATCAAAGTGTGTGTGTCTCTGGATTTTACTATGAAGTTGTTGAATGGCTAAAGAAAGGTATTAATATTTGACCCAGTTCTACAAATACCATTGTTTTTAATTTCTACGATTACTCTTGTTTCTAAGGGCTATGCTTTGATTTTTTAAAGTTAAAGTTCAAAATTAAAATTTTTTCCTATAGAAACTTATTTTTGTATATGTTCATCTTAATTTATTTACTAAAAGAAAATCAAAGGTAGTTCTAAGCAAATAAAACATATTTTTACTTAACATAGTAACAATCTAGAATAATAATAACACGAGTACTTTTTCCAATTTAATTAAAACATTCTCGACGCATATTACCATACATTGCGTTCAATCTCGAAATAATAAATATGTTATGCCACTTACATTTCGTTCACTTGCAAGTGTAATTAACTAATTAGTTTCGAATGAGGCTGGGGAAAGTTCTTCCCCTTTTCTTTTCTCGCAAGCCATGTGCTCGCTTACGTGTCCAAGTTTCAAGTTGCATTCAAGTTTTTTCCCCAGCGAAAATTCTCCACCCAAACAATTCCATTCCCCCTTTCCCTCTTTTGCATTTGTTTTTTCTAAAATTTTTTCCACCCCGCAAACTGCAATTGCAATTGACTGGCGGTGCAATGTGATTTCCATTCATGCAATCTAGCCGATAGATTCCCATGTGCCGCACGCGTGTCTCATTCTGCTCCCACATGATCGCGGAACAAGACGTCAAATATTACTCATACGCCACCGACACCCCAGTCATCGCCATCGGCTGTCATGCATCAGCCATTAGGGTTTTACACTAACGCCACCGAAAAAGAAACAAATACGCCGGGCCGAGACACCACCATACATCGCGATTGCGATAATATTATATTATATAGACAACGTACTTGGCCAGTTTTGGTCAAGTTTCTTTCGATTTCGGTATCCGCCAATTGGACAGATCAACATCGATAAGCCAAAGTTAAGCGATCCGTACCAGGGTTCGACACAATAGTTTATAAATAGCACGGCCCAATCATGACAATGGCTACAAAACGTCTGTTTGACCGCTTGCGGTGGGTGGACTGTGGGGAAGAGGGGAACAAGAAAAAGAGGGAGCGGTAAACGGTAAATGGTAAAATGGTAAACGGCGACGTCGCCACTTGTCAGTGAGTAACGATGAGTGCTCAATAATTTTTCGATTGATCATGTTTCATGTTTTTGGCGCGCGGTGAAATTTAGACCGCTTTTCAGCCAGCCAGCCACGCCTCCCCCCGCTCCTACGCCGCCCCCTCTCTTCACCTCCAACGATCGCAGGGCATCCGCATTCGCGAGCGGCGGCAATCATGAATGAATGAATGAATCGCTGTGTTTGGCGAACACTAGAGAGCTCGGCTCGCGGCTGAGAAATCGTGTGTCGTCATTGTCGTCCGTCGGCCGACGCGGCGTATGAGTAATATTCTTGCGAAATTGAACGGAAATAACTGAAATTCATGCACCCATCAAGTATTTGCGGGGGTTACACTGCGAACCGGCGAACCGGGGAATCGGCGAATCGGCGAATCGGAATCGGAATCGGAGAATCGGATTCGGAATCGGAGAATCGGAAGTGGCGGCGTCGAGTGAAAGTCATTTCGATAAGAGCCAAGTTCACTCTCTCTCTCTCTCTCTCTCTCTCTTTCTGTTAGCCAGAGACCGGCAAATCGAATGGTATGTTTTGTTTATCTGCGAGCGGGAGAGATATACTATATAAGCATATTGCCATTTAGCGCTCTCTCACAGCGAACATTTCGGGCCTAAAGTGGCCGAGATCGGCCCACCTAACCGATCGATCAATCACTCCGCTCGGCGGCATTATGTGTCATCCGGAATGGGGAGCGTTTTCCGCTTTGGAGAGCACTGAGTCTTTGAGCCGAAATCTGGCTGGCCTAATCAATAACTAAACGGTTTGTCCAGCGCCCATTACCGCCGGGTTGTATTGCCTGTAAATCAATTAGGTTCGGGTTAAGGCGGTTGTAAATTCTGTTGGCTTGTATCTACAAACGGATGGCATTTATTACTGGCTGACTAACTGAGTGGCGCTCACAATGTTTTTTTTATCAAATCAAAAAATGTGGCCTTTTTCGAGTTTATGGTGTTATGAGCTAAAAAAAAAGAATTAAAGAACGATGAATAAAAACTCTTAGGTTGAAATTATGACTGATTAATTTCAGTATTTTTAATATTTAAAAAAAAAATTTATGTGTTTTTTTTTGTGGTTTTATCAAATTTTTAAAGGCAAAAACTTACTCATTTAAATGTTTGACATAATATTGATGGCATAACTGCATTAAAATATATTTAAATCTATTATTTAATAGAATTAATCTTAACTTATTTAATATTATCGTAATCAAATAATAAGCTGCACTATAATAATTGTTTAAAAATATTTAACATTTCATGTTTATAAATTCATTACAATATATACTACGAAAATCTATATCTTAATTGAAAATTATTTTTGTTCTTTTTATGATTATGTAAAAATTGTTTCTACTAGAATAAAATATTTTGCATTTAAGAATGTATTTTTTTTGGTCTGTGCTTCATTTTCTGCTTGGGCTTTTTCCTCTGATTGCTGGGTATCATTGAGGTCTATACAAATCCCTTCTGAGCCGTTTGTTTTTTCCCCTCGGTCAGCTGTGTTCTTTTATGGCTTTCTCGCCTTGTTTTTGTTTTTGTTTTCGTTGTTTTTGGCACTCGGCGAGTGTTTTGAGCGCTTTTCTTGGAGCGCTGCCCCTTTGGAGATTGCACACTCATGACGCTCATGACGCCGAGGCACTCATGTCCGCCGAGAGCGGCTCTCCCACTCCCGCTTCCACTCCCCCTGCCGCTCCCTCTTCCACCTCCTCCTCCTCCTCCGCCTCTTTCTCTTCCTCTTCCTCCAACACTCCCACTCGCCAGCTGTCTCTCTTCCGCTCGCAAAAGGCGAAGCGGACCGGCGGTTGGGCGTCCGCCTCCTCATTAGTATGCTCATAGTAACTGAGGAGTTCAGTCCGTCTCAGTCTTCGGCAAAAAAAAAAAAAAATCAAATACAACAAACGAAGAGAAAAGAAAAGAAAACATAGCTGCATGCGAAAAAAGTTGGCAATAAAAAACGCGGCGACGAGAAAGCCACTCCAATCGACAAAAAAAAAAAAAAAAACTTCACTCGACTCTCAACATCGCATCGCTCTTCCATCGGCGAGAAATCGACAGAGACTTTGGCTTCGAGTTTGACTTCGTCGGCGGGCGATTCGATCGGATCGGAATCAAATCATAGCAGGCAGTCGAAGGCAGCGCGTCGCCACTTAACGCGATAGTCCCTCGCCGAGATACAAAATACAAAAGAAATATATATTTTCGCAAAACTCACTTACTTGCCAATTCGCGTTCGCTTCAGTTGCTATTATTTTTTTTTTTAGTTTAGTTCACATTTTGTTTGCCGTTTTTTCTGGAAGCAAGTAACACAAAAAAAAAATATAGAAAGAAGAACTTCCAACGAGTTAAGAACAGAGTGCGTGTCAAATAAGTACGAAATTTGTGCGGAATTCCCAGCCAACGATTTTTATGTAAATGGTGAGTAAAAGTGACTACTTTTCTGGCTTTAAGTTCCTCCGGGGATTTTTCGTTTGTTTTGATTTTTTGTATATTTATTTTTTGTATATTTTTTTGTATTTTATTTTTTGCTGTTTTTTTTTGGAGTGGAAGAGAGCGGAACGTGTTTGGCTTTCCGATAAGTTGTCAGCTGTGCAACTTTGACGATTATGGCCAAGAGTTCTCGCCAAATGTAATGTAATGGTCGAAAGTGATTAAGGTATTTCTTGTGTGATGAAATAAACAGCAGCTCTTTTGGTTTTCGAAACAAGATCGAATATGAATTGTAGTTATTAATCAGCAGGAAGTGGAATCTTCTGCTCATCCATGAATCACTGACTGAAATTAATAATAATGGATATCTTGGTGAATTTCCAGCTTCCCATCATTTTTGTCATTAGTGAATCACAGATCTTTGAGGTGGCTGTAATTTCTTATTTTTGGCAGACACTACTTCTTTTTTGGCCTTTGTGGCCCTGTGTCGCAAGCAAAAATGAAAAAAAAAAAACGCCAAAAGAGCGAAACATGTGAAATTAATTTACACGTTCCAAGCGGCGGGGGGTGGTGGTGGCTCTCCGATGCGTCAGCGGCAACAAGCGACAACGATTTGGAATTGGTAGTGGAATCGGTTACGGAATTGGTAGTGGAATTGAAATTGGAATGGACAAGGTCCGGGCGATAAAGCCAGAAGAGAGAAGCAAGCGGTTCGCTGAGCGGGTGAATTTCACAAAAGTTTGCAAGAAGCCAAGTTCGTTGACCATGTTGGTACGCGTGTCTCGATCAGGGCCTACCCCACCAGACTGAAAAAGTAGAGTGGCACCACCATCACTACCACTAATCACTAATACCACCACCAGTCGACCTCCACCAGCGACACACGATGATTCAGCCAGAAAATGCGGCCAAATAAAGAAATTTATTTTAATTTTAAATAATTATGTCAGCCAGATAAAGACAGCAGTGGCTAGAGTGGCAAACGATAACAATAACAAATCACGCACGCTTCGAGCCCCCAAACAATTGCGAATTGCGATTATAAATGTCCAGCGGGAATCCCCCGACAGCCAACAATCATCGCTCGCCCAATGACACACACAAACACACCCACACACACACACACACACAGCTATAATCACGTGTGTATTTGGCTTCGCATTTTGGCTTATATTAAGCAAACGAGGAGGGAAGATAATATATAACCAGACGGTTCAGTTGTCCGTGCGTCCGTTAGTCTTGAATTATGGTAATTGCTCCCTCGTCGGTTAACAAATCTGGCCAACACTCCACAACCAAGCCCTCATTATGACAAATTTCGTGGTTATAAATATTCGAAATATCGGCTAGACGACTTATAAATACAACCTGTTGACTCTTCTTATGCTAAATACTAACGTACGCCACGCTTTTTGACGTCAAAGAACGCCGGTGAAACTGGCTAATCGGTGGGAAAAAAGTTAACCAAAAAGGGCTTGGGCTTTGTTTTGATTTATTTATTTATTTGTATTAATATTTTTTGATTTTTTTTCAACCCTTTTTAGACGACAGCTGGCCGCCCGCTCGACGTCATCGGGAGCAGCAGCGGCATCAAAACGGCCAGCACGTGGAAACCAACGGAACCGCAGCCGCCGCCGTTTTTGGATCGACGTCGCTTGAATAGAATCTGCTCGCTGGCCACGCTCGTTTTCATCATGTGCCAGCTCCAGCAGTCCACTCCATCCGGCGGCGGCTTCGGTGGCGTCTCCGCTGCCCCTGCCCCTGCCCCCGCTTCCCCCCTCGAATCCCTGCCCACACCGGAGTCCTTGGACCCCATGGACAGCACGCTCGTGCCGCTGAAGCACCTGCAGAAGCGGGACACCAGCTTCCGGCTGCGCTTCCAGCGGGAAATGAACGCCAGCAGCTCGCACCTGGACTGGGAGAACACCTGCGGGGGCGTCTGGACCGGGGAGGTGGAGAAGCGCAGTCGCACCAAGCGCTGCAAGAAGCGCCAGATGGTAAGTTGCAGAACCAATACAACCATAGTAAACTCAACTATAGTAAATGCAAGCATAGTAAATACTAGGCAATAAACAAAGTAAAAATCAAATTAAATATGGATATTATAAGGTCAAAATAATTAAGAGATATTAAGAGTAGAACTGTTTTAAATACCAACTTAACACAATAATTTCAAGTTTTAAGACAAAGCAAAGAGAAAGGAACTTTAGTAAAGAGTTATATAATTTATTTTATATTTTTTCAAGGTCAAGTATCTTTTTTCAAGAGACCACTTAAAAAAACAACGGATCCTGCCCAATTTTTTTGTTTATAATTTTTATTTAAAGTTCCTTCCTTAACTCCCTTGTACTAATTACCCTCCAATCCCATTTCAGATCCTGCAGAGGCTGCAGAACCAGACCGCCCGGGAATTGGGTGGCGTGCAGACCGAGGACAAGGCCAGGACGACCACCGATCCTGACCAACTGGCCACGGCCACAAACAAGGCCCTCAACATCATGAAGAAACGCAAGTGGAAGCTGCACAACATCAACTACAAGTTTCTGCCGCGCTTAAATTCGAGTAGTCAACAGGTGAGTTGCTAAGTCCTTAAAACTCTACACCGTTCTAAAGGGAAAGTGTAGTATCAAGATCATATAATCACTCCATCGGTTGAACAACATGCAGAGGGTGTGAAGATCCAGATCGCTTACAAACATCAAACACTCGGGCTGGGTTCTTCTGTTGCCAGGGAGCTTGAGGTGATAAAAAAGAGGGTCACGTGAGGCGTTCGCTCCGTTCACCTGCGTAGGTGCAAACAGACCGTCACAAGTTAACTGAGCGGTCATATGAGTCCGAGTCCGAGGAATCGTGCCGCTAGAAGCGAGAGTAGCTACCAAAGTTTGTTAATCAAACCAACAAAATAAGGAAAACAGATTATCTAGCTAGAAATATTACAAAATAGGTAGAAAGAAATCTAGTTAAAATAACTGCTACCCAATTAGGTTAACAAACTTCACTGCCACACCTCGCACGATTCGTCAGCATTAGCCGGCATTTCGGGACGCCCCATTAACCGTCGATTTGCATTGGCAAACAACAACAGCATGAAGGAAAACATTAGCAATCGATGCCATAACCACATTAAGATTAAGAGCAAATTGACGGCGCGCGCGCGCTTTTATTTTTTTCCCCATTTTTTTTGTCGAGTATTGTTTATATAGATCCATCGCGATCCCCCCCAAAACCGGCCTTGATCCAAGATCACGTTTTATGGCCACCCCGTATATTGGATCGATCCGAATCGAAACCGAATAAAAGCTGAAGCCCCAGTTGAAAACGAAAAAGCAAAAAAGCGAAAAAAAAAAATAAAAAACGAAGTTCAATCTGAAGCCCCCCTCATTTCGAAGTGGTTAATTCGTTGGATAAACAAAATAAATTCAAGCGGCACATTTTATTTACACTTTTGACAAGTAAACAACAACAAACAGAAGCTAATCAATTTTTGACTTGGATTCGGCATCGATATCTGAATTATGGATGGCCAGAGGAAAATTATGGAGATTTTCACTTTAGATTTTGTTTTTGGATGGTTTGATTCAAGTGAAGTGGAACCGTTTAGAAACGGCAAATTTAAGGTGAATGGGGGGCTGGGAATTCGGAAATAGTTTCGCCCTGGCATTCGAAATGAGCAAACCCAGCTGAGGAAAAACCCGAGGTAAAAAGCGATAAGCCCGTGAATAATGCCGTCGATTAGGTTGGGCAATGGAGTTTCGTGGTTTGGGGGCTTGGGGTGTGGATCGTGGGCTCAGGAATGTAGGAGCCAGTTTTCCGCGGAATAATTGACTAATCTTAGGGCACGCTTATCGGAGCAGCGGGTACGAGTCAATACGTGACCACATGACGAACCCCTCAGCCCCAAACCCCAAAAAAAAAAAAAGGTTTAACCCACATTTTGGGGTCGATCGTTTAGGGGGTGGATATATCGAGATCGATTCGGTTGGTGGAACGTGCTAATTTCTAGGTGGCCGGTAATGTTTCGTGTAAGACAGAATTATCTGCAGATAACCAGATGAGGGTAGCTTACTTGGCACAGCAATAAACGCTTTTATGACAGCGCGGGTGTTTGGCCAAGCGAAGGGTAAATGGCTCAACTTCTTGGCCACAAAAAAAAAGAAGAAAAAAACCGCCGACTCACCGCAAGTCAGCCAAAAGCCAAAAGTCGCGATCAGAGTTCAGTTTTCCAAGTGTCTCAAAGGTCGCCTCCCCACGGAGTTTTATCTTTTTATTACCTATTACCCGTTCTGCTAAACTTGGCCAACGCCATCATAGTCATCACCCATCGCTCCACTCGCCCATTCATTCGCTCAGCGACTTAGTCAATCGCCTATTCGGGGCGATGAGCGAAGTTTGGCTTTCGCTGAAATTTCTCAATTGTCGTCATAGGTGGGGAAAAGTACCTGAACCTGGGACCACACGGTGAAAAAATTGGGGGGTTTGTTGGACAGAAGAAATATAAGAAAAATTTTGGCTACTTTTAAGGAAATATATGAACACTGTTTTTTTTTTTTTTTTTTTTTTTTTTTTTTTTGAACACTGTTAATTCATTAAAATGCTTAACATAATAACCTTCTAATTAGAACTCTCCGTTTAATTGGAGCACAGAGCTTTAATATTTGTAAAACTTAGATTCAATTGGGTTAGGTTACTACTAAATAAGAAAGGAAAGAGATTAATAGCACCCACATAGTTAAAATCTTACTATTAGAGTAGCTTTTAAAACCCAATCTTTAACAAACAAATATCACACATTTAAAGTTCTGCCAGCTAAAAGCTATTAATAAACAACAAAACGTGGTCTATTTTTAACTTAGTAGTGATCAGATCTTAAATATTGACAATCCAAATCCAAACTTTTCGCGCTCTGTACCAACCTGGTAACTTGCCGCTCGGGATGTGTGTCAATATTTGACCAATATTGGCTACGTCAATGCCGACCAATTGTGCCGGCTAATTGTTGACATCCCCGAGCGCAACGGAACGGGACGGAACCAGGAACGGAACCCCCACCTCGATGACGAGGTGACAGGACGGAGCGGACTGATAGAAGAACTCTATTAATAGACTGATCGCTTAGACGGTACCGCGAACCGGCGGCCTTTTGACGTCACAACGTCGCGACATTCGCACATAACTAACACAAAAAAAAAACAACCGACGATATAGCTTGTGGGATCGGGGGTATATCGCATTGGATCGGAACGGATCGGAAGGAGGAAGGAGTTTAGCGATACGATATGTTTGAGCGGTTTTCAGCGCTCGTTTATTGTAAAGTGACACACAATCGCGTTGTGTTTGCCTACGCGGTTTACGCGGGGCTCGCGGGGCGTATACGTGATATGCGATATATGTGATTCATAACAGCCGAACCGTGGATTCCCCCGAAAACTTCAGCGAGAGCGAGCGAGAGAGGGCGACAATCGCGCGAGCGGCATGAATGAAACGAAGAGCCAACCGAATACGTCACGAGCAGCCGAAGTCGAAGTTCGGCAAAACAACAGTTACACGAGAGAGAACGTTCGTTCGGCTCGATTTTCACTTTCAGCCGCCGGCCAGATAAAGTTTTTTTTTTTTTTCGTTATGCTAAAAGGGTGGTGGTGGGAGGAAGGGAGAGGGGGCAGGTTTACAGGGGGGTGGAAAGAGGTGGCAGCGCAGCCAACGCGGTTCACTCAACCCAAGGCAATCGAACTATAGGAAGGGCTATATCGCGTATTACGACCTGAATACGCCATATAGATAGCGAACAGCACGTTCGCATATCCAGTGCGCCAGGCCTTGTAATACCTCAATTTACAGATCCGTAATGGGATGTTTATTGCCCGGAGTAAGGTCAATATATCATGTATTTCGCTGGTTCTTGTTATCACAAATAAAAGAATCATTATTTAAATGATAAGCAACCAGAAATCTGAAATCACATTCAAAAAAGAAAGAAAATTAAGCATTTCTTAAAACACATTTCCAAAATATTTATTTATTAACATGAAATATATATAAATTTGTTAAATATATATTAATATATATAATATTAATTTGTCCGATATGGTTTCAAATATCCTTATTATCTAAAAATGATTATTTTAAGCTGTTAAAATTTATAACATAAATTTACAAAAATTTAAAATATAGTATGAAACTTAAATAATTTGTGGTAGTGGAGAACTCTTATTGAATTTCGTTCGAGATCAAATATGTTTTACTTCGTTAACTCATTCTACATTAAATCCTTCATTACTATCATTTCGTAAACATTTAGATACTTAAATATTATCTTTATCCTGCCGAACCCACTGAACTTCAACCAATTTTATCTTTTGCCCCTTGCAGTTGAATTTACGCCACGTGCACCGCGACCTTCAGTTCTATGTGGGCGCGTTCACCTACTTGCGGCACGCGAAGATGCACTGGGACTACAACAACCTGCAGGCGGAGAGCGTCCTGTCCGCCGAACTGGAGCGAATGCGCCACTCCGCGCGACAGGTGCTCTGCAGCGTTGAGGGAGCCATCAACCAGACGAACCTTCTGTACGCCCCCACCGCCCGCCAATCGCAAGCGAGGGCACGCCACCAGCGGCAGAAGAAGCGGGGCGCTGCACCGCTGGTGACCTTCAAGGTCATACCGCTGAAGCTGATGGAGAAGCGGCTGCAGCAGTTCCGGACGCCCGTCGTTGAGCTGAACCATCAGGCGACCTTGGCCGCTCAAGGTCAAGAGGTGGCGCCACCGCCCCTCGCCAGCCAGCTGAAACTGGACGCACTGTTCCTCAAAATCGAGTTCGTTCAGTATCTGAAGAGCATTCGCAAGATCCTCAACCGCCAGCGAAAGGATCTCTGCACTGAAAAGAAACGCATCCAGGTGAAAAATCCAAATAAGATCAAAAGCTGAAGAAGATCAAAAAAAGAAGAAAATGATGACAAGAGTTTAGCAACCGGTGAAACCTCCATTCCACAAAACGAGGCTCATTCCATGAAGACATCCTTAATTTATTGCAAACATCCTCTATTTATTACTCACGCCACCATCCCAGTCACGAATCACGAGGAATCCCCGAAAAAACCCAAGGCTATGAAAAAAACCGAATAAGTAATGAAAACCAACAGTAATCGACAAATCAACAAAACCGAATGAAGATACCCAGTTTTCTCGATATCTTAACGCGAATGTATTCCCACTTTAATATATATTTTTTTTTTTTGCCTAGCCTTAAGTTCCATTGTATTATTTATTATGCAAACTCGCCAACAATCTGCCGCACATTCCGCTAGAAACTAAGTATAAAATATACTTTGCCTTGTATTACGATGCTGTGATAGTAGATGATTAAAGTAACCACAACGCTCCAAGAAGGCCACAACACTATATATTTATATATGGATATATATCTCCCCGACTATATACACGGATATATGTACGATTATACACCTCTTTGCAACTAAGCTTTGTGTAGGCATTAACTTTTTTAGAAATGAAATACAAACAATTGAAAGTACACATGAAAAAAGAGTTTTTCCTTCTGCTTGGGGGGTCTACTTAAATATTGGGGGATTTTTCTGTTGGCGCCGTATCAATTACACCTGGAATATCTTCCCACCGAAATTGCGCATACGCACCGTTTTTGGGATCACAAAAAAAATATATATAAACAACAAATACAAAAGGAAATAAGAGAGACATAAAAGTGTCCAAACAATTTTCTTTTACGATCGTCGCCGCAACTTTAATTGCAGCAGAATTACGCGGCATTTATAGACTTGTTCAAATATTTTATGAGCCATATAATAATTCACCTTTGTTTTGTCCCTTTTTGTAGTCAGCTGCACACGAGAAAAAAAAATAAGAAAAACACCAGCGATTTAACGACACAGAAATGTTTGTCGCCGCTCTCAATTCTTCCCAGTTCCCCATTCCATTCTTCTCGGCCAAGATCTCCGATTCTCGCGGCTTTATCGGAGGCCAGGAATCTGAATCTCTGCCAGCGCGCACCTTCACTTCTGGCCTCCACTGGATGTGTGTTTTTTTTTTTTTTTTTTGATGTTCTCCTCTGCGGTTTGCCGGAGTACCCGAATCGCCCGCCACCTTATCGCACACAATCAGCAATTGTCATTAATTTCGGACTCGGTGTACGTGCTCCGATTTGTCTGGCCAACGCACCAGCTCTCCTCCACCTCCACCTCCTGCTCCCTAATCCCGGTGACTGATTCAACAATTTAATATGCCAAAGATAGAGCGACAGAGAGGGATGTCTACCCAGTCCAGTTCTGAATCCCATCCCCCATCCTCAACCACATCCACATCCCCATCACCATCAGCATTTCCATTCTCATTCCCATTGCCAGGCCGAGAGTCGCCCAAGTGAAGATGGTTATCGGCCCGATTTTATTGTCTGCTCTCCCTGCCGGCAGCCTCTCCGTGTGATCTCTCGGCCGGGTGATCTTGGCCAGTGATCTTGGCCAGGTCCGAGAGATCCGAATGAGGCGCACATGCAGCTATGCGATCCCATTCATGCCCTCTTCTGGATCGCCATACTCCATCCTCCGTCCTCCATCCTCCATCTTGCATCTCTCTTTCTCTCTTTCTCTTTCGCTTTCGCTACTTTGCATGCAGCCTGCGTCAACTTCATTTTCAACCTCAACTTCAACTTCAACTTCAGATACAACTGCAACTGCAAGATCAACTGCAACCCTTTTGTCCCTTTCAGGTGCACGTAGCGCGCATCTATCTTCAGTTTTGATAGGTTTTTATTGGCCTGACCTTTATTAAATTGAAAATTATGTCTTTCTATGAGAAATGTTGAAATTCCTTCAGCTCTCTTTCGGAACGGAAACCCCTTAATTGTCTGGGCATATGCGTTATCGCTCCGATTTTGGGAGATCCGAGGGATCTGCAGGTTAAGTACTCACGTGCATTAGTGGTTAGTCTTATGGCTCTGGGATTCCATCTTTACTCGACACTAAAACTAAGTACGAAAAGAAACACCCTAAATCAAGATTAAACAGTTAATTTTTTTAATGCATCACCACCTGCACTTTTTTCATGTTGAAAACATTTTAATAAATTTTTATTGCATTGCATTTCATAAATAATTTGTGTGAGATAAAAAATGTTATTTATAAGCTTAATAAGTTAAGTGTAGTCGTTAAATAAAGTCAAAAATTCGTTCAGAATTTAAAAAAAAAATGGCAAGACATGTGAAATTTTTATTTTTTCCTGGATAAGTTTTTGATAATTGTAATAATGTTGTCTTAAGTTATAGTTGAACAATAATTTTAATAACAATTAATTAAATAGTAAATATTCTGATGTGTTAACGTTCTCATGAAAAGTGAAACAGCATAATTTTTACATTAACCAGCCGAATAATCATTTTGATAAAAAAAGTTGAACTACGTTTTTTTTTTTTTTAATATTTTATAAGTTGTGCAAATTTATTTATTTACTTTCTTAACCAAATATTTGAACTTGCAATAACTTTGTAATCTGATATTGTACTATTATTTTACATGTACATTTCCTAACAAAAAGTTCTATATCATTTTTCCCGAACGGAATTTAGTTTTTAATGGGTATCCTTAAGTCGATACCCTCGACCCCCCTCCGCGGATCCCTCTCCTCTCCTGGCTCCTGCTGAATGAACTTTTGCGCCTGCCACTGATCTAATCTAAATGTTTATTTTGTTTTGTTTCTGTTTTCTGTTCAGTTTTGAATCTGGATATTTTGTGTCCGACTCTTCTCGTCACAAGTCACGTGCAGGGAACTGTTTTTTTTTTTTTGTATTCTTTTTTTTTTTGTGGTCTTGGTCTTCAACGCGGCGGCAATTAATTTAAAATATCTTATTTCATTTGTGTTTTTCTTGTTTTCCCTCTTATTTTATATTTAACTTGTATTTGCCGTGTGTATTTTTGAGTTATGTTTTCCGCTGCAGATTTCCACAGATAATGGCGTTACATTTATGTTCCCTAAATGTTCCCAAGATCCATGAGAAGCGGGGACCAAGGAGAGGCGGGGAGGGGGAGGGGGGGGGGGCAAGCAGCCCGCCCACCAAGGCGTGTGTCCAGTGTCCAGTAACTTTAATAGTTCCGATTGTAAAACGATTCGCGTGGAGATTTCGATTCGCGACTCTCCCACGAATCAAAATCGCTGACTTCGCAAATCCATTTGCCTGTGGGAATCTCTTTTCCGTATGGAAGATTCTTGAGGGGAAAGGGGGATAGTGAGGGGGAGACTGGTCTCCACTGAGGTGTTGAAATCTCGGGGCCACAAAATCTTCGTCAAGTCGCAGCTCAGCAGTTTCCCCGTTCACGGAATCGAAAACTCTTCTCCGTCCGCTGGCCATCTGCTCTTGGGCAATCAACCGCCGCTCCCCCGCCCCCAAAATTTCCTCCTCGAGAAGCGGTCTTAATGTAAACACAATTGTCGAGCTGTAAAATTGGAGGTTGAGCTCCAGTTTGCTGACGGCAGTGGAAAAGCCCAAATTGACACAGGAGGCCAAGCAAAAGTGCCGCGTGAGGAAAAGTCAAAGTGTGACTTTTCCACGAAGTGCATTCAGTCCAAGGAAGGTTTTCATTAATACAAGGTGAGCCCAGAAAACTTATTTACCTCATAAATGGTACAATTCAAGTTACAATTAAATGAATTACTAATACCTGATATGTGTTTTATTTAATTAAAAGCTAAGCTCGTAATTAAATTGCATTGCAATTTTTAATTTTGTTCAAATTTTTTCCAACCTAAACTCAAATCAATCTCTGTCAATTTTATTAACATATGTTTTAAGTTTTTAAATTTGGTTTATTTAATCCAATTTTTATGTAAATTGTAATGGCATTTAAAGTCCTCTTTCAAAATATTGTAAACAATTTTTGGTAGCCAAAAAGTTTTATTAAACGGTAAGAGAACTTGAACTATATACCATCTACTCAATCAGAACTTTGCTAACAATACTAATATATTTTAATAAAAAGCCTCACAGTTTCTAAGTGCCTTTTCCAAATACTCTCCCCAAGATTTCCCAATTTTTCAGTGGCACCTTGGCCAGCTGTAGTCCCGTCACTTTCTCCATTTTTTTGCCCTAAAATCGGCTCATTCAATAACCATTTGGCCAGGACATGGCCCAGTCTGTTGCCGTCTAAGCGGCGCCTTGGCCCAAATAAATTACGATCACTTAACAATGAGGCGGCCTTTTCATGAGTTTTTTTTTTAATTTTTTTTTTTTTTTTTGGCGTTTTCATGCAACCTTTCGCTTTTCCGCTTAATAAGGTCGAAAGGTGTTTTCAATTGCGAAATGGGATTCAATTGTCCGGCGGAAAAACGGCACTCGAGAGGCGAGCAAACATAAAGTGACACAAATTATGAAAGAACCACCGAGGGATCGATCGAGCGAGAGATCAAAGGTGAAACGCGCCCACTTTGTTGCCCGTTGCAACAAACGACAATTGAATCGCCTGCCAGCGGGACAAAAGCGGTACGGCAACGGTGGTGGTGGTGGTGGAGAAGGGGGGAGGGGGAAAATGCCGAAATCCTGAAGCGGTACACAAGGACATCGATGGACGAGGGGTGAGGGGCAGCTGGACAGTCGCACAATGAAGTGATCAGTGGCGGGGACAATGGGACGAGCGTTTTTAATTGTCAATGAATGCCACATCAGCTCTTGACCTTTTGTGGCTATTTGGGAAACAGTTGCTCGCTCCGTGCGAAAAATAAAGGTGGACGGACCACCGCCCAGGTGAGAAGAATTATTATCCCAACAACCAACAAATTCCAGCGCTGCGCAGCCGATTCAGATGCCGATTTTGATGAGCGTTGCGACAATGGAATTGATATAATTAATGGCCAGTTTGGCGCCAGACTTTCGGGACACGAAAAGGTAGGAGACTCTCCGGAGAGCAACTGGGAAACGAGCTAAAAAATGTACACTCAGCGGAAAAATATAATCATATACTACGTTTATTTAAACACAATAAAGAATGTTTCTTTAAATTATAAAGTGACATTCTTAAGATTAAAATGAAAACACAACACTTAGAGAAACGTATAATCCTGGGAAATAAATAACCGATTTCTCCCAAAAATACAGAAGCATATAAGTTATTTTGTATTAATTTTAATCATAATTTAATAAAGAACAAGGAATCCTTTGTGATGTATTAAACAAACTAAGAAAGACTTAAGATATAATTTGTGATATATTATGTAGTAAAAATATATATATCTATTAGAGGACTTTCTAGTCAAAAAATACAATTACATTATTTTAATAAATTAATTTGTTCTGTTTTTGTCCAATAAATAGATAAAGAAATTAATTAAGAAATTAACATAATTTATGTTTAATGGGAAAACTCAAATATAAAATGGTTTAAGCTGTTATCCAAATAACATATTTTCTGTTTTTATTGTATTACACCTTAGAATTATTTTCCAAAATCTTATCGGAGGATCGTGTTTTGCAGTGTGCACTTGC